ACCAACAAAATTAACAGACCACTTACACACAACCCCTTACCCAACAAAATTACCGACCCATAAACACTCAAATCCACAACCAATACATGCCAAACACCCAACCACAAAACCAATAACATACCTCATACCACCACCACCAAATGCTTATTATCAAAACACCTAACAACTATATCCTCCCAACACATCATACTACCATATCCAAAATATCTAAGAAACATATAACACTAACACTTCCTCCAACCATAGTCAAAATGCCAAAACATCATAATACCAAAACATGCAACAAATATATGGATACCAAACACCACAACAACCATTTCTTCCTTTCTTTAATGAATAATTCACACAAATGTCGTTATTCAATCGAACAGACCGCTCACCAATAACCCCATCAACACAACCCAACTGCATTGACATAGGCCATGAACTCAGTCACAACAGCGCATCAATGCATACACCCGAGTACATCAAATTACAAGAACTTATTAGAGAATATGGCGATGGTGATGTTCTAGGAACCTTGTTTCAAACACTCGGGGTGAATTAACAAAGACTGATACGAGAAAAGGTACATAAGGGGTGTGGAACCGATGACATTTATGAGTAATTTGGGTCGTCATTGTTAGTGCACACAATGTTCTCGTATGTAATCATATTTAAATTAGATGTTAGCCATAAAAATCCACCGATATAAATATCCCTAACACGACAGAAGATATCACTATGTTAAATGCGACTGAAATGGCAATCGATTGTTGTTTCAAAAGAGAAAGATTTATTGAGGAGTCTGGGGAAGTCGGGAGCACCAATGAGACTAATGCTCCAGGATCACAAGAGAGTCCCAAACAGTGGTATCAGAGTCGATGGTTCAATGAAGGGACCGACTCCTTGGATCAAAAGTCTTTCTGACATGATTATGGTCAGGCGGCGTGTCCTGTTATAGTGCCCACAACGGTGGTATAAGTGTATGTGGATGGAAGATCTTCTGCTTAAGAGGAAGCATAGTGGATGAACTCACACTTAAGGAGGAGATTGCTCTGATACCACCATTGGTGCTCCCGATTTCCCCGAACTCCCATGACTCCCGTTTATGATAGATAATCAAGGATTAACTAAAACGTTAAGTGACAATGATACTCCCATAAAAAATGGTGCATGGCCTGTTCGAAAATTTTGCATAAAAGATTTTTTTTGAAAAGATTATGTTTGAACACGTGGGGAGACAATTAGCTAGAGAAGCATCTTCTTTAGGGTTTAACCGAAGATGAATCTCAAATGGTGTTAGACCGAATCCAACATGACAAAATATTATATTTCAATCTTAATAGTTAAAAAAAACCAAAATACATGTGATAGTGATGGGTTTATTTTAATAAATTAATGATATTAATATTTTCCAGTTTAAAAAAAATCACAAAAATAGATCAGACGAATAATAAATTTGATTTTCTATCATAAATAAAAATAACAAATTTGACTCAACAAAATATTATTAAAAAACAAACAAAAAATATTAGTTTTTTTACAAAAACTCAAAAGAAATAAAAATTGAAAAACTTATAAAAAAACATAATCTAAAATTTCTTAAAAACATTGTCACATTGATATCAAACTTAATTTTCATGAGATACAAATAATAAGAAATTAATTAAAATACATTGATGGTGAATTTTTTTTTACATTATCAATTAATCACGACCGTGATTAGTTTAAAATATTTAACTTTTATTTTAATTTTTTAAAATAACACAATTGATGTAAATTATTTTTACATTGTGCATAACAATTTAACTGTGCATAACAAGTTAACTCATATAATAAATTTGATTTTCATCATAAATAAAAATAATAAATTTGATTTAACAAAATATATGTATTAGTACAAATTAGTTATAATTGAGTTTTTTTTTTTGAAAATATATATTTATATGACCCATGTCAAACCACTTACCCACAAGAAACTTCAACGTCTAACCACCAACAAAATTAACAAACCACTTATACACAACCCCCTACCCAACAAAATTACCGACCCATAAACACTCAAATCCACAACCAATACATGTCAAACACCCAACCACAAAACCAATAACATACCTCATACCACCACCACCAAATACTTATTATCAAAACACCTAACAACCATATCCTCCCAACACATCATACTATCATATCCAAAATATCCAAGAAACATATAATACTAACACTTCCTCTAACCATAGTCAAAATGCCAAACATCGTAATACCAAAACATGCAACAAATATATGGCTACCAAACACCACAACAACCATTTCTTCCTTTCTTTAATGAATAATTCACACAAATACCGTCATTCAATCGACCAGACCGCTCACCAATAACCCCATCAATACAACCCAACAGCACCAACATAGGCCATGAACTCAGTCACAACAACGCATCAATGCATACACTCGTGTAAATCAAATTACAAGAACTTATTAGAGAATCTGGTGATGGTGATGTTCTAGGGACCTTATTTCAAACACTCGGGGTGAATCAACAATGACTGATACGAGAAAAGGTACATAAGGGGTGTGGAACCGATGACATTTATGAGCAATTTGGATCGTCATTGTTAGTGTACGCAATGTTTTCGTATGTAATCATATTTAAATTAAATATTAATATTTTTTATTTATTTTTATATAATTTATTGTCTTAACTAAAAAAAGTATTACGTTGAGGCGCCATATGAACTGCCACCTCCTCCTAAGCATTATATATAGGCGTCAATTAGATTGGTTAAGCCTACAGGAGGCACCAATTCAATTGACGCTAGCTATATGTTTTTAAATGCACGAGTCATTGAATTGACATGTGCTATGTATCACCATTTTTTTTGAAACATGGATACTTTAGAAATTAGTAGGGAAACTTGGTTATTTAGGGAACTATTTTGAAAATTTTGGTTATTTAGATAAAAAATTCTATGAAAAGATCCATAACCCAAAATTTTGGAAAAATATACACATAAATAACAAAATTGATTTTTTTCTTGTCTTAAATAAAAATAACAAATTTAATTTGACAAGATAATACAAGAAGTAAAAAAAACATTATTATTTCTTCAGTAATACAAAAGAAATCAGAATCGAAAAACTTAGCAAATATTCACAACCCAAAATTTGGGGATTAAGAGCCATTTACAGGGATAAAAATTGTGAGATTTTAGAATTTAGCCGTAAAAATCCACCGACATAAATATCCCTAACACGATATAAGATATCACTATGTTAAATGCGATTGAAATGGAAATCGATTGCTGTTTCAAAAGAGAAAAATTTATTGAGGAGTCTGGGGAAGTCGGGAGCACCAATGAGACTAATGCTCCGGGATCACAAGAGAGTCCCAAACAATAGTATCAGAGCCGATGGTTCAATGAAGGGACCGACTCCTTGTATCAAAAGTCTTTCTGACATGATTATGGTCAGGCAACGTGTCCTGTTATAGTGCCCACAACGGCAGTACAAATGTATGTGGATGAAAGATCTTCTGCTTAAGAGGAAGCATAGTGGATAAACTCACACTTAAGGAAGAGATTGCTCTGATACCACCATTGGTGCTCCCGATTTCCCCAGACTCCCATGACTCCCATTTATGATAGATAATCAAGGATTAACTAAAACGTTAAGTAACAATGATACTCCCATAAAAAATGGTGCATGTCATGTTCGAAAATTTTGCATAAGAATTTTTTTTTGAAAAGATTATGTTTGAACACGTGAGAAGACAGATAGCTAGAGAAGCATCTTCTTTAGGGTTTAACCGAAGATGAATCTCAAATGGTGTTAGACCGAATCCAACATGATAAAATATTATATTTCAATCTTAATAGTTACAAAAAAACCAAAGTACATGTGATAGTGATGGGTTTGTTCCAATGAATTAATGATATTAATATTTTTCAGTTTAAAAAAAATCGCAAAAATAAATCACACGAATAATAAATTTGATTTTCTATCATAAATAAAAATAACAAATTTGATTCAACAAAATATTATTAAAAAACAAACAAAAAAATATTAGTTTTTTACAAAAACTCAAAAGAAATAAAAATTGAAAAACTTATAAAAAAACATAATCTAAAATTTCTTAAAAACATTGTCACATTGATATCAAACTTAATTTTCATCAGATACAAATAATAAGAAATTAATTAAAATACATCGATGATGAAATTTTTTTATACTATCAATTAATCACGACCGTTGATGAGTTTAAAATATAACTTTTATTTTAACTTTTTAAAATAACACAATTGATGTAAATTATATTTACATTGTGCATAACAATTTAACTGTGCATAACAATTTAACTCATATAATAAATTTGATTTTCATCATAAATAAAAATAATAAATTTGATTTAACAAAATATTATAAAGAAACAAACAAAAAACTATTGTTGATTTCTTTAAAAACACAAAATAAATTAAAATTGAAAAGCTTATTAAAGATCAATACCCGAGAATTTCATAAAGATATGCCATAATTATATCAAATTGGATTTTTCATCATAAGTAAAAATAACAATTTTGATTAGATGAGATATATAAAAAGCAAACAAAAAAATAATTTATTCAATAACAAAAAAATAATTAAAATCGAGAAGCTTATAAAAAATCTTTAACAAATTTTGCAAGAATATAGGACCACAATAACAAATTTGACTTGACAAATATTATAAAAAACAAACAAAAAATCATTATTAATTTTTCCAATGACAAAAATTAAAAATCGAAAAGCTTATCAAAGATTTACAATTCAAAATTCCACAAAAATAAACCACGTCAATAACAAACTTTATCCTTTATGAATATAAAAATAACAAATTTGTTTATAAGAATGAAATTAAAAAGGAAAGAATTATTAATTTTTTTAATAACACGAAAAGAACCAAACCCACTCTATAAATATCTCCCAAACACTCCCAAATTTCAGAAAACAAAAACTCAACCGCCTCCTGTCATCGTTCCGCCATGGCCAATCAACCCGAATCCTCCGACGCGTAAGTTTCATTGTCCTCTTTCGTTTCAATTCTTCTTTTTTTTTGTTGTTGTGAATTTTGATGAATTCGATCATGTTTCAGTAAGGGAACAAAGAAGGATTTTAGCACTGCCATCCTGGAACGCAAAAAAGCTCCTAATCGTTTGGTCGTCGACGAAGCTGTCAACGACGATAACTCCGTTGTAGCTCTTCATCCCGAGACGATGGAGAAGCTTCAACTCTTCCGCGGTGACACTATCTTGATCAAGGTATTGTTTAGGGTTTTGGATTTTTTTTAAGAATTTGGGAGTGAAATAGGGTGGTTTGTTTGTTAATTGATTGTTGGAATTTTGTTTGCTGTTTTGGTTTTTAGGGTAAGAAAAGGAAGGATACGATCTGTATTGCACTCGCTGATGAGACGTGTGAGGAACCGAAGATAAGAATGAATAAGGTTGTGAGAAACAATCTTAGGGTTAGGCTTGGAGATGTTGTTTCCGTGCATCAATGTGCTGATGTTAAATATGGGAAGAGAGTTCACATTCTTCCTGTGGATGATACTATTGAAGGAGTGACTGGGAATCTCTTTGATGCTTACTTGAAACGTGAGTTACTCCTTTGTTGTGTTTTCTGTATTCAATACGGGTTTTTTTTTCATCTGCTTTATCTTTTATTCTAATATCTGCCATGCACATTGGTTTCAGGGAAGGGTGGTAGTTTGTCTTACAATATTCAGTATTTTATTTTTCTTATTTGGGTAGTTTTTGTGTTTATGCAATGCTTGTAGTTGGGAATAATGGCTGGATTGCATTTCAAGAAAGCATTTTTTAGTCAATTACTATTTTGTTTTCTCTAACATTACATCATCAAGATAAAAGATAATACTTTTTAATGAAATTAAAATTTAGTCACTGAGATGTTACCATCATCCCAAATTTGCAATCTCAGACAATCAAGGATCCTTATTGTTGTTTCCTTTTGCTATGATGGTTTCAATATAATGAGATAATTAACTCATTCATATCCATGCTCTGTCATTGTAAATTTTGTGCAGTTTTATTGTTTCGTAGCATTGATTTGTTCTAAAAGTTCTGCCACTGTCTGTGTTTGTACTTCATTTTCTAGGATAAAACATACCAAGCCGTTCCTGAAATATTTTTTACTCGCAATTTATTGAATTTGGAACACAGGAAATGTGACCAGTTTTTTACTGGCATTGACTCATGACATATAAACCTGCTGCATTCTAATTCCTTTTGAATTCTAATCCCAGTTTTACGTTTGCAGCTTATTTCCTGGAGGCATATAGACCAGTGAGGAAGGGTGACTTCTTCCTTGTGAGAGGGGGGATGAGAAGTGTAGAATTCAAGGTTATTGAGACTGATCCACATGAGTACTGTGTTGTTGCCCCTGACACAGAGATCTTCTGTGAAGGAGAGCCAATTAAAAGGGAAGATGAGAATCGATTGGACGAGGTTGGTTATGATGATGTTGGTGGTGTAAGAAAGCAGATGGCACAGATTAGGGAACTGGTGGAACTGCCTCTGAGGCACCCACAGTTATTCAAGTCTATTGGTGTCAAGCCACCAAAAGGAATTTTGTTGTATGGACCCCCTGGATCTGGAAAGACTTTAATTGCCCGAGCAGTTGCAAATGAAACAGGTGCCTTCTTTTTCTGCATTAATGGCCCTGAGATAATGTCAAAACTCGCTGGTGAAAGTGAAAGCAATCTAAGGAAGGCATTTGAGGAAGCTGAGAAGAATGCACCATCCATCATCTTTATTGATGAGATAGATTCCATAGCTCCTAAGCGAGAGAAAACTCATGGTGAAGTTGAGAGGAGGATTGTTTCCCAGCTCTTGACTCTCATGGATGGTCTTAAATCACGTGCACATGTAATTGTTATGGGAGCCACAAATAGGCCCAACAGCATTGACCCTGCACTTAGGAGGTTTGGAAGGTTTGATAGGGAGATTGATATTGGTGTCCCAGATGAAATTGGGCGTCTTGAGGTTCTTCGAATTCATACAAAGAATATGAAACTTGCTGAAGATGTAATATTGAAATTACTTTTCTCTAAGTTATGGTTTAATTTGAATAATATGATTTCTAAAAGAAATTTGTCCTTTCTGACATTTGCAGGTTGATTTAGAAAAGATTGCTAAGGAAACACATGGTTATGTTGGTGCTGATCTAGCTGCATTGTGTACTGAGGCTGCACTTCAATGCATCAGAGAAAAAATGGATGTGATTGACTTGGAAGATGAGACAATTGATGCTGAAATATTGAACTCCATGGCAGTGAGTAATGAGCATTTTGCTACTGCTCTTGGATCAAGCAATCCTTCTGCTCTCCGTGAAACGGTACATATTTTACCCAGAATTTTGTGCTTGGCAGTGTCAAGCTACTTGTTCTCACTTTATTGGGTGTGTATAATCTAAACTTCTCTATTGGAACAGGTTGTTGAAGTGCCTAATTGCAGCTGGGAAGATATCGGGGGTCTTGAAAATGTTAAGAGGGAACTCCAAGAGGTGAGTGTAGCTCTTACATAATCACATTGATGTACTAGTTTCCTTTTTTCCACCACTGAACATTTTTGTTATTCTCTTTTGCAGACTGTTCAATATCCAGTGGAGCACCCTGAAAAGTTTGAGAAGTTTGGAATGTCACCTTCAAAGGGAGTTCTTTTCTATGGTCCTCCCGGTTGTGGTAAAACACTTTTGGCCAAAGCTATTGCCAATGAATGCCAGGCAAACTTCATCAGTATCAAAGGTCCTGAGCTGCTCACAATGTGGTTTGGAGAAAGTGAGGCAAACGTGAGGGAAATTTTTGACAAGGCTCGTGGTTCTGCTCCATGTGTCCTATTCTTTGACGAACTTGACTCTATTGCAACTCAGGTTGGTGTACTAGTCTGGGTTACTAAGATATAATTTGGACTTGGGCAAAATTTATTGTCAAACTTTTACAACTCTTCATTCATTTCAACTATTTCAGATAGAGAATGTTAGCTATGGTTACATAATCTTTTTTTCTTTATCCTGCAGAGAGGTAGTAGTGTAGGAGATGCTGGTGGTGCTGCTGACAGGGTTTTGAACCAGCTGCTAACAGAAATGGATGGGATGTCGGCAAAGAAAACCGTGTTCATCATTGGCGCCACTAACCGACCCGACATTATAGATCCCGCACTTCTGCGTCCAGGGCGTCTAGACCAGTTGATTTATATCCCTCTCCCAGATGAAGATTCCCGTCATCAGATATTTAAAGCTTGCTTGAGAAAATCCCCCATCTCAAAAGATGTTGATATTAGAGCTCTTGCAAAGTACACCCAAGGCTTTAGTGGTGCTGATATTACTGAGATTTGCCAGCGTGCATGCAAGTATGCCATTAGAGAGAATATTGAAAAGGTACAGTTTTAAGCTTCCAACTTTTCTATTTACAATTGAAATTTAAAATTATTATAGAAATTGGATCTGTTTTAACATTTTTTGTTTTTGTTTCTTGTTACTCTCACCAGGACATTGAAAAAGAGAGAAAGAGAAGTGAGAACCCTGAGGCCATGGAAGAGGATGTTGATGATGAAGTGGCGGAAATTAAGGCAGCTCATTTTGAAGAATCAATGAAGTATGCCCGAAGGAGTGTAAGTGACGCCGACATCCGCAAATACCAGGCATTCGCCCAAACATTGCAGCAATCCAGAGGTTTTGGAACTGAGTTTAGGTTTGCAGATTCCGGCTCCAGTGGTGCTGCTGCTACAGGTGCATCTGATCCATTTACATCTGCTGGCGGAGCCGATGATGATGATCTTTACAGTTAGATCAAACTCTTATGTTTGCTGATAATTGAAAGAATGCCTGAGCTGTCTTATTTATGTACTTGTCATTTGCGTATGAAGTCTCCAAGGCTATTTTGGATTGTTATTGTCTGCTTCTTAAAAGCATTTGTTTATATGGCAAACATTAGAAAACTGTTTAGTTTTTTTGGTTAACTTGACAGCTTTTGGAACTTTCACATTAACAAAGTTTTACACAAATTTTACACATTTGTCTCTTTAAAGTTTTTATATATAATAATCAATGTTCTGCCTTGACGTGCACCTAGTTTTTTGTTTGTGTTTTGTGAGATTTTTGCATATGGTGGTCTTGAATGATGATTGTGTATTGTTTTTTTTTTTGAAATACGAAGAAAATAAAGAATATTGCAAATATTATTTTTATTATAATGTGTATTATTTTTATGAACAACTATTGCTTTTCTCTCATGGTCACATTGGCATAAACCCTTATTATTATGCAATGAGTTGTTGGAAGGCATATCATTTAATTTTCTTTGGTACTACCAAATGTATCCCTCATTTGAAATTTGGTGACTCATTTTATATGTTGCTTAATCCTTTTTATACCTTATTGATGATTGTGCGTAATCTTTTTTATTGTACATTTCGGCAGAGTAAAATGCTCATTTCAGCAAAATGTACCATAAAATTTTAAGAAAAGATTAAAATTAAATAAAAGAAGAAAATGTTTTGAGGTGTTATAAGAATTTAGACAGTTGGGAGGGGGAAAAAGCTTAGGAAAAAAATTCTTACAACAAGAAAGTTTACGCACAGGGCTTTAATATGAAAATTACTCCATATCTATATCCCTATATTTATCCGCCTACTCCTATAATTTTTTAAAGAATATTTCTTATTTGTCAATTAGCAAATCCATAAATTTACCACTTAATTATACCATTCGTCTCAAATTTTTTGAATTTGATGAATTTTGCACCCCTACACCTGGTTTATCGGAGTACTATGAGAAATGTCATCTGATACATTTTTGTTTCTTTATAGAAGAACTTGTTATGTTCCCCAGGGTCAAATTTTTGTAACTGGAAAATTTGTTGGTATGTTCTCTGATTTGTAATCTATGTTGGATAATCTGGTCTAATCCGAATAAATAATTAGGTAATTTTGTTATTAAAAACTTTTTAAAATTTTTTTTATGTTGCACTTGTATGAGAATTCTTTTATACACGAAAAGATGTGATAAGGTGTATTAAGAAAGTTGAAATAAAAAATAAAGTAAATACTATGATCACTTGTTTAAATACAAAACAAGAAATAGAGAGATAAACAATAAAGTAATATTTGACAAAACAATAAAGTAATATTTGACTGTGATACATATATGAAATACAAGAAAACAAATAGTGGAACACAAAAGTCACTAAGAAATGATTGTGTCTAAAAGTGGTTTTGATTGATAGAGATCTTACTTTGATGAAAGTAATTAAAGTTGTGTTTTTAAAGAATCGAAATTACCCAATTGAAGTTGTGAATGACATGCAAAAGGTGTTTTGCACATTATGGATGAAAGTTGTATAAACTAATGATGAGGTTGAGTATCATCAACAATCGCAACAATTTGAGAAGACACGTGATGATTGTAGTGAATTTATTGATTATGTGAAAGACACATGGTTGACTCCTCATATGCATAAATTTGTTGGAGCATGGGTCAATCAGTGTTGTATTTGGATAACACCACAACTAATAGGTATGTATCATTAGTAGCTATATATTGCATTATTTTGATGTTTAGTGTGTTGGTTTGATATTTTTTATTTATTTTAGGTTTGAGTCTGCTCATTGGTAATTAAAGCATAAGTTGTAGGATAGTATAAGTGACATGTGTAAATGTTGGGATGCTATAACAATTTGAAGTTACAATTGGGTAAAATTAGAGCTTCTTTTTAGGAAAGTTTTTATGAAGTTGAGCATGCACACACTAGTCTATTTTTTAAGAATATGAGTGGATCAGTATCCCGAGCTACTTTGAGACACATTATTGAAGATTTATTGAGGGTTAATTATGTGGAAGCCAATATCTAAGTATGCAGGTGTACTATTAGACCATCTTATGAGTTGTCTTGTGCTTGTGAGTTAGGAAGATACACACTTGGTGGTGATCTGACACCAATAATTATTCATATCTATTGGAGGAAACAAAGACGTATTAAAGGTGGATATGAGAAGTGGGAAAGGTTATCAAAATTGGAATTTTGCATAAGATCGGGAGGGGATGGCCGAATCGTAAAATATAAGATCATAACTAAGATCGAAAGATTCTACTCAATTATTTTTGTAAGATCGAGAGAGGGTAGCAAGATTACAAAACATAAGATTATAATAAAAATTCAAATTGACCACTCCAAATTGATCATTCCACCACCACAACAAAAAGAAATCAATCCAGAAATCAACACTACAACCTCATTTTCAAATTTCTCTTTTACCACCTCACCATCAAAAATTAAAAACAACACACAAATTTCACAACACATCATTACATCCTTACTAATTTCTGATGCTCAAATATTAAAAACTTTTCTTACTTCTGATCAAGTCGCCTATGAAACCCCTTTCACCGCAAACATTCCACCATCACCAATTCCTTCTGATCCAAATAACAACAATATTTTTTATAAAATCCACGACTCAGATGACTATGATGACACAATTTCTAATGAAACTGGTTTTGGAGAGGAAAACATTTCTCAATCCTTGGATCTTACTCCTCTGAACCTGAACTTGGAAGAAGTAATTGTTAACTTCAAGGAAGATTTAATAAGGAGAATCAATGAGCTCAAAGAGGAATCTAATTCATGCATTGATTCTTCTCACTTGAACTTCATCTGAGATCAGTTTAAAGAATGGATGGATAATGAGTTTCTCACAATCAGAAATCTTACTGGACAATTATAAGAAAAACTTGTCAAAGAAGCAGAAGAGAGATATCTGACTTTAGAAGCTAAGAAAAAGGCAGAAAAAGATGCTCAGAAAAAGGATGGAGGAAAAGGCTAAAAAACAGGCTGAAGAAGAACCTGCAAGAAAATCAACTATTGAGAAAGCTATTGCAAATAGTTCAAAGGCTCCAGAAACTTCTATTGTTCTACAAACTCTAGAAGAATTGAAAAAGGAACAAATGTGAGTGTTGTACCCTAAATTTCGCTCCTAATTTTTTCAGTCGCACTTTCATATCATATTTTGTCATTTGGTTACAATTATTAGTAAATAACTTCGTTTATCACATTTGCATCATTTAACCGTGTTTAAGTTGACCAAAAGCCAGTTTAAATCGACATTTGCATCATTCTATAGTTGAAAAATACTCGACATTTCACTTCATACATTTTTATCTCTTTACTATTTTTTTGCATTGCTCCAAGTTGTTTATATGTCGATAATAAAAATATTTCGGTTTTATAGACAGCCTGTTAAAAGCGATTCAACACTGTGTGAAAATTAGCGAGAAAAATATTTCAAGTTTTCACCTTTTACTGATCATTTTATGAATTTATGTTTCACGTAAATTATGACGGTATGCTCGCTTCATTTTTATGGTACAGTTCGAAGTCTCGTTTTTAACCGTAAACGTCTGTTTAGCCTGATATTTTTATTATCATTTTATTCTGATTTTGACTTTTTGAATATTTTTCTTTAATCTTTGTGACATGTAGTTTATTTTAATGTGTTCATTTTATTTTTTCGGATAAATTTTTGTTTGTTTTTTATCGTTTTCAATCATTTTAAGTCTTTATTTTTTATTCAGAAAAAAATTTAAAAAAATTATTTTAAATTGAGTTATTTTTTATACTTTCAGGTTTTTATTTTATTTTTGTCCTTCAAGAGTTTTTTAGTCACATGAAAATATTAAACACACTATGCTTGATTTTGATTGACTACAACATTCTCAATTTTTATTGAAAATATGCAAACTTTATATGCATAAAAGTTATGAAGCTCGAAAGATTTTGACACTTAGTGAATTTTTGGTTAAAAATGCAAAAATTTGACTTCTTCATGTCCATTTTTGAATGACTATTTGGACTCAAATAAAAAAGTTGGTAACATGAAAGTTGTAGATTTAAGTTTTCTATTCATTTTTCATTCAAGAATCATCTCAAATGGTTGAGCGTAGAGAAAGATATGGTGATTAGGATTTTAAGTTGAAAACTGAACTTTTGCCCAGCACAAGGTAAGGCACGCGCGCAGCAAGCCCAGGCAGGCAAGACATTTCATCAAACATGTTGTGGACGCATATTCATCATCACATTTCTATGAGAAATATTCATTATTTTGAAAAATTCCCAACATCAAAGTTCAAGTCCTAAATGTTAGAAACAACCTTGCTTCAGAAAATTTCTCCAAATTCTTCCTACATTTTGAGATATAATTGTAAGAAGTAGGCACCACACATGCTGAATTTTCAGCCCAGCAAGACAAGTCGCGCGCGCAGCAAGCCCAGGCAGGCAAGGCATTTTGTCAAACAGTTTGTAAGGACGTGTTTAGGGCCAAATATCTCATTGATTCAAGCTCCATTTTGAAATTTTTTGAATATGAAAGTTGGAGTATGAAGTGTCCTCTACATTTGTGATTCAAAGTTTGTCACATTTCATGCATTGTGGAGAGAGATATAAGGAGGTAAAGAGGTGATCTTGAAATAGCAAAGTTGCATGAAAATGCATGAAATCTTTTGTGCCAATTCAAACTCTCTTTGCTAGCTCACACTCCAACCCTTATTCACTTATCAAAAGGCACGTGATTTGCACTCTTACTCACTCAAAAATGCAACTTACTCTCATTACCCTCATTTTCTTATTTTTCCTCACTCTCTTTCCACACTCTATATAAAGCTTATGCATTCAACAAGCAAAGGGTTGGAAAATTACAAATCAGAAGCAAGCAAGCTCTTCTCTCTAATTCTCACGAAAAACAAGCACTCTCCTCTCTCTCTTTGAATTTCAAGCTTCCTCCATTGTTGTCAAAGC